TTTGTTAAAACCATCCACTTGTGGTATCTCTGTTACAGCAGCACTAGATGACTGAGCAGTTGTAAACAATGAAGAAAGATCAGGAATTGGAAAATATGGCCTTGGTGACAGAAACGATGCTGGAGATTACATGAGAGAATTTTGCAAGACCGACAACTTCTTTTTTGCAAATACCTTTCTTCAACAACATAAACAGTGACTTTACACATGGACCTTGCCAGATTGAATACACAGGAATCAAATCAATTACATCTGTGGAAACAGACTATGGAAGAGCTCAATATCACCACTGAGAACAAGGCCAGGGGCCAACTGTGGAACAGACCATCATTTGCTCATATGCAAGTTCAAGTTGAAAATGAAGAGAATTAAAACAAGTCCACGAGAGCCAAAGTAAGATCTTGAGTATATCCCACCTGAATTTAGAGAATATCTCAAGAATAGATTTGACGCACTGAACACTAATGACCAAAGACCAGACTAGTTGTGGAATGACGTCAAGGACATCATACATGAAAGAAAGCAAGAGGTCATTAAAAAGACAGGAAAGAAAGAAAAGACCACAATGGATATCGGAAGAGACTCTGAAACTTGCCCTTGAATGTAGAGTAGCTAAAGCAAATGGAAGAAATGATGAAATAGAAGAGATGAACAGACGATTTCAAAAGGTGGCATGAAAAGACAAGGTAAAGTATTATAACACGTGCAAAGACCTGGAGTTAAAAAACCAAAAAGGAAGAACACACTTGGCATTTCTCAAGCAGAAAGAGCTGAAGAAAAAATTCAAACCTTGAGCTGCAATACTAAAGGATTCTATGGGCAAAATACTGAATGACATATGAAGCATCAAAAGAAGATGGAAGGGATACACAGAGTTCAGGAATACACCATATCGAAAATAACTGGATGACATTCAACCATTTCAGGAGGTAGCATATGATCAAGAACTGATGGTACTAAAGTAAGACGCCCAAGCTGCGCTGAAGACACTGGCGAGAAACAAGCCTTCAGGAATTGACGGAATGAATACCAATTGAGATGTTTCAACAAACGGATGCAGTGCTGAAAGTGCTCATTCATCAATGCCAAGAACTTTGAAAGACAGCTACCTCAAACAAAGCTGCAGATTAATCTTATTGCCTCACTGCTCAGAAACTTCCAGTGGTGCCCCAGTGACTGACTCCTACCTCTAAAGAATCCTGTTAGCCACTACTACTCCTCAGAAAACCTCTATTATTCTAGGTAAACAGTTATAGTATTTACTAAAACGTGCATGCTTATTTCTGTCTCTCTATGCCTTTGTGGGAGCCCTGGTGGTGCAGTGGTTAAGAGCTCGGCTGCTAACCAAAAGCTCGACAGTTTTAATCCACCTCCTCGGAAACCTCTATGGGGCAGTTTTACTCTCTTAGAGGGCTGCTATGAGTCGGAATCAATTCAGCGGCAATAGGTTTATGCCCTTGTGTATTCCATTTCCCGGCCAGAAGAACTTTACCATCGTTTCTTTAAGGGCTACCTCAATTCTCACCGACTCTAAATTCCTACTACACTTAGTACTTTTACCAGTCACTTGGCTCTCAGCATGTTACTTTGTGGTGTTAACTTTTTAGGCTTACATGTTGTTTCACTAACTAGATGAGATCTCTGAGTACAGGGATCATGGTAGACTCTCTGTGAACCACCTGCACTTGACACAGTGCTACGTACATAGTATCACCCCGAAAATGACTACATGTTTATAAACACCTCTAATTCTTTAATATTGCTCCCTGTATCAAAACAAGTAAGTTGTTAAAGAATTTTTCAAATTACTGACTACAATGCTTAGGAAAGTTCTCAGAAAGTAACTCAAAATTAGGCTTATTTAAAAGTCCTAAGAACCAAAGTGTTAACTCCTTTTATGTTAATGTAAAATTTACATTCATAGAAGACTGTATGTGAAAATGATCACTAAAAATAGCCCTCACATTATGTTAGTATAACACTTCATGGCAAATAATTTAAACCAACTATATATGTTTTAAACATGAATTACCATAATGTGAATTTCCACCTCTCTCTTTGAAAGTAGTTCCTGAAGGAGTCCTATCGCATCTGGTTGCCAAACATTCCCAACCTATTAGCGATTAATAAATTTAGGTTCTTTTACACTTTCATAAAATAAAGACAGAGCAAGAAGAAAATTAAGGTGCACAAAATATACCATAAACAAATAATATTAGGCAGTGGTACAATATACACAAGCAGTTTTCAGAGAATATCAGTGGTATATGATAAAAACAATCTTAAGAAACTAATAATTTAACTAAGCTTTCCCCTATGGTACACACTTAAAACATTTTATGTTTTAAAAATATAAACTTACATTAAAAACATCACATTTGAAACTTTAAAATGAGACCAATATTCCAATGTGGTGTTTGTACAATGCCTACAATATGTATTTATATTAAAAATGTTATATTTTTATGTGTTATATTTTTATGTGTTGAGAAGTTCACGTGGCAAAGAATTGAGGCCAGAAGCCATGGGAGCGAGCCATTATGAAGGAGATCCTCCATCCCCAGTCAACTGTTCAGACGACTACAGTTCTGGCAGACATCTTGACTACAGTATATCATTAGAGATCTTGAGCCAGAACTGCCCAGCCAAGCCCCTCCCAATCTCTGAGCCATAGAAACGTTACCATAAATGTTTACTGTTGCTTTAGATCACTAAGTTTTGGGGCAATCTGTTATGCAGAAAGAGATACACATAATATACTACTCCTTTATCTGATTTCCATTTTCAAATTTACTGTAATTTTATATGATGGAAGAATAAATATTTACTTTTATATCTTCCCATCTATGGACATATTATGTCTCTTCACTTACTCCAATTTTTTATATCTTTCAGTATAATTTTATAATTTTTTTTCATGCAGGTCTTCTACCTCTTAAACTTATTTCTAGGTATTTTATCATTTTTGTTGCAACTGAAAGGCACTTTATTTCACATTCTAGTTTCAAAAAAAAATTATTAATAAAAAAAAATCTTTAAAATTAATCATTCTACCAATTAGTGTTTACTCACAGGTATGGTATTATAGAGCTGACATGGAATGCAAAACTGGGGTATATCAGGATATAGCAAAATAGGGTAAAGATGACACTGTGGAATCTTCTCAGTGAATCCATGATCTAAATACTGTACCTGAAATATGTCAAATAAAATTTATAATTAAAATTTATCAATAGATTACAGAAGGGACTCCTGGTATTAAAAAAAAAAAGAAAAAAAAAAGACATCCTGGAAAGATAACTAAGTTTGGATTCAAAAAACCTCTAGAAAAAAGTAACACTGTACTCCTTCATCCCATGGTGTATTAAACCTCATTGTTAAAGATTTTCTTACATATAATCTATAAATCTTTTTTTAAACTGGTTTTTATTAGATTTACAAATTCCTTGAGAGCAACCCTTTTTTGAAATGCTTTATTTAATTTTGATAATTCAATTTCTAAATTGTTTTAAGAATAAGGAAATTATTTGTTCTGTCCCAACAAAATTAACACATCATTGTTTAGTTTGGTTAGTTTGGCAGTTAGCATTTAAAAAATGAAACAGAATTGAATAAAAAATATCTGAATACATCACAGGTAGTTAGAGTGACTACAATTTCACAGAATGTTTGTTTCAGCTAATATTTACATAAATGTGTATACTGGATCACAATATAAGATTCATTTCTTAATGTGGATCACAGGGTAAACTCTGAAGAACACCAGAATAAGGGATGAAAATTTATTGTGTATACCTGAAATGTAAAGTAACAATAGGAAAAAAGGTGATAATTAAAACAGCAAAATACCTTTAGATAAGTTACTATAAACTGAGATATTCACAGAGCATGAGACATTAAAAAAAAAAAATCCACCATTTATTTGGATTCCATTTATGTACAGTTCATAATTAATGATAACTTGATGCAAACTGGATTTCAATTTACCTTTGTATGAAAGAAAAGGATATGTGTTATCTGAACATTTTAAATGTATGTGAAAAGTCATCTATTTGCATATAAACACGTGGATCTTTAAGTATCCAGATGCTTAAGTACTCACTCAAAATATGAAACCATTTTACTTCTATTAAAATAATTAAAGCTGAAATCCAGCAGAAAAAGTGCAAGACTCAGAATTAGAAACTTAGGAATCAGATGTTTGGATATGATACACTCTAGCATCATCACTCACTAATTGGGTGAACTTGGGCAGGTCACTGAACTTAAATCTCAATTTTCTTATTAGTAAAATGGCAATAATAATCTACATCTATGATTATAAAATAATCTAAATGAATAAAATATTAATGCATGTATGTGAAAGAAGCATAAAAATCTGAGTTGCTATATAATTGTTAGATTTCATCATCAGATAGAAAATAAACTCCTGTCCAAGCAAAAACAATATTTTACTCTTTAAATATTCCTCCCTTATTAAAACTACAAGTTTCAAATGCTGAATATCTGACACTTTATCAATGTTATTGCTTTACTTAGTAAATACATTGTAAATGGAGGTATTTTCATCTCTTTTTTTCTAGATACGTAGTTTTTTTCAAAGTACACAGCCATTTCTAAAGATTCTGAATAAAACTTGAGTGTTATCTTAAAATTCTGGAAAAGTAAAGTAGCCCCTTCTCTGAGAGGATTAGCTGGACCTTACAAATTTCCTATAACCAAAAACCCATGTCATCCAGTTGAACTCCCCCAAAGGGTTTCCAAGGCTGTAATCTTTACAGAAGCAGACTGCCACATCTTTCTCCCATGGAGTGGCTGGTGGGTTTGAACCGCTGACCTTTCGGTTAGCAGCCAGGCGCTTAGCCACTGTGCCACCAGGGCTCCTCAAATTTCCTATAGAGATATTTAACTTAACTGAAAACAAGTTACTTTGTTTTACACTCTGTATGCAAATAGGAATACTAATTATAAATCAGTGGTCTATCCATTAAAGTACCAGTGGCCACATCTCTACCTGCAAATAGTTTTTGGTTATTAGGGTTACTAAGTGTATCTGAAAACAAAACAGAAAATTCTTATTACAAATAAAAGTGTAATGCATCTGACTGGTCTTCCTAAATTAATGAATTTATTAAAAGATGTTTTAATCAAATTTTTGTATGTTTAGACTCAAAAGACCATTTAGCCTTAGAATAGTCACAAAAAAATATCAGACTCACCCTAATAGTGCCACCAACAACTTCCATTACCTTGCCTCGATACCACATAGTATCTGATCCTCTTACTGCACAGGCTTCTCCTTTCTTCCAGAAATAAGGCTCCAAAAGACCAAGGCATTTAAAATTATTTTGAATTTCATTCATCATTTTTATTAGCTGAAATTCTGAAGGAATTATTAAAAATATAAAGCATTTAGGAAAAATTCCTTTCTGCTTTTCAACATGAAGTCATCATTAATCTTTAACAACTTCATAACCGATATATTATAAAGAATTAAAAATTAGTCCCCACATAACAGAGCTTTAATAAAATTCTACTTTAGTCAGTAGCTTCTATATGTTTCAAAACATATACTATTGACTTGTAAATAATTATTCTGATCTCTGATTACAAATTCAAGCACTATTTTGAGAGTGCAAATTTCATAAAAAACTCTAAACATACCAGATGGCCTAATATAAAATAACTATCAATTTAAGATAATGTCAGTTTGACAGTATACCTAAATAAAACAGAATATTTATGTGTTCCTTAATGCTTAGGTACAGCATAATGCTAGGGATATGAAATTCAAATTCTAATTTTGCTACTTACAGCTAATTGGCCCATTATTTAATACAGTAAATATATCTCCCCATAATTGATACCACAGAAGGCAAGCTATGGAGTCAGTTCCCATCCCAGTTCCACCACTTCGGTTGTGTGATCTTGGGTAGTTCCTTTACCTCCATAACAGTTTAGTCTTCTGTAAACTGGATATAATTATACCAACCTGTATTATCAGTAGTACAGTGAGGATTAAATGTAACACATCTAGCACGTTGCCTGGCACGTAACGGTAAATAAATTTTAGCTATCATTTATATGTCAAGCAGCTTCTGCATTAAGCATTATTGCTAGAGGTCTCAAGAATAGTTCACTTCTTCCAAAATGGTCAATTGCACAGATTGTTTTTAAAATTAATAAACAGTATTTAGGAGATAAAATAAACTGAGACAAAAATTTCAGCAAATTCATAGCTACATACATTTATACACAGGTATATTTACTACAGAGCTAAGGAAGTTGAAGTCCTGTGATTTCTGTGAGTTATAGAATATAGAATATTCTGGACAGGCTCAGGTTGTAGTCAGGAAGCATTTACACATAAGCTTAAAGAGATCTCAGGAAGGACCCAAATATTCCAAAGGGACCTGAATCTCCACTAATTTGTTGTGGTTTCTTTTCTCATTCTATAGAAATATAAACTTTTGTATTCTTCTTCTTGGAGAGCCTCCGAAACTGTCTAAGTGCCAGACCTTAAAAACCTGAAGTACCTCCACTCTTAGGCCCAATGTGGGGAAATAAGGGAGACAAGGTGGTGGAGGGCAGCTCAATTTCTGCTAATCCTGAATCTTGTTAAGACCTGATTTAGCGACCAGTCCCATACTGCTTCTCTTCCATGTTGGGGGAGTACTTAGGATGTTCAGACAATGGAGCTAGTGACTCAGTAAAAATAAGGAACATAAAGTATTCCATAACAGAGTTTCAAAATTCTAAATTCTATCATATCATTGCTGGCTGTGGTGCGCAAAACAAAATGGGGATTTTTATACTCTCAAGGATCCCAAGGTTATAGATTCACAAATATATCTGAATGGTGATGAGGAGAAAAAACAGGTAACAGTCCTGATACACCATCATACTAAAAAAACTCGATGACTTATAATGGCTTCCTATCAATAATCATCACTTGCAAGCTCCCTTAGTAAATTTCATCACTTCTATTCTAAACAAGCGGGACTCATTTTTCTCATTTATGGCTATCTTTGTACAAGTTCTTTCCCTATCCTCCCCTAAAGTTTCTACCTTTAAAAATGTATACAGATTTCTGATTTCTTCTATCTATATCTCCAAAGCCAGTGGTGTTTAGGCATTTCTAAAAAAGTTTTCCTTCCTGACCTCTAGACAACACTTTGCACACAGTGTATCACATAAGAACAACAGGGTGTAGCGCAGAAAGCATATGACTTAGAGCTGAAGACCCAAGATATTTCTAAAGAACAAACAAGATAGGTAGATAGGCCCCAAGAGATTTCAAGTTTTATAGAATACAGAGTAAATAAATTGTATCCATATTACAATATAGTATAAGCTACACTAAGAAAGACACTGTGGTACTGGTGCAGGTACAGACAAACAGAGCAAGAAAACGAAATAGAGAGCTCAGAAACAACTCATACCTATATGGAAACTTGGTTTTTGACAAAGGCAGCACCACAAATCAGTGGGGGAACGTGTGGAATATTAAGTAAATGGCTGTAACAATTGATTAAACATACGAAAATAACTAAACTGCATCTCTTCATCACACATACCCAAAAATCAATACTAGGATGGACTAAAGACATAACGCAAAAAGCAAAATTATGAACATTTTACAAAATCATATGGTGGAATGTCTTCCTGATCTCAGAGTAAGGAAGAATTATATATAAGATACGAAAAACAAAAACAGACAAAACAAAAAATCAAAAACAAACGAAGATTGATACAATCACATTAAAATTAAGACCTATTCATTGTTTGGAGCCCTGGTGGTGCAGTAGTTAAGAACTCAGGCTGCTAACCAAAAGGTTGGCAGTTCAAATCCACCAGCCGCTCCTTGGAAACCCTATGGGCAGTTCTACTCTGTCCTATAGGGTTGCTATGAGTTGGAATCAATTCGACGGCAACAGGTTTGTTTTTTTTGGTTTTATTCACTGTTCTGCTGTACATAGGGCTGCTATGAGTCAGAACCAATTCTATGGCACTTAACAACAACATTCAGTCAGAAACCACAAAAAGACAAGTTAGATTTGCTACACATAAAACCAAGAAAAGATAAGCACCTGGGATATATTAAGAATTACATATCAGAAATCAACAACCTAATGGAAAATGAGCAAACAACATGGAAAGATATTCCATAAACATGGGAATACAAATGATTCAAATATAAGAAAAGATGCTCATCATCATAAGTAAACAAGAAAATACAAGTTAAAGCCACACCGACATACAGTTTCATGCCCACTAGACTGACAAAAATCAAAAAGTCTGGCAATATCAAGCAAGAGTTAGCAAGGATGCGAAGCAATGGGAATTCTCACATGTTGCTAGTGAGGAGTTATAATACTATAAACTACTTTGAAAAACAATCTGGCATTACCTAGAAGAGGTGATCACACACACATAATCTTAAATAATGCACCAATTCTGCTCACTGGGTATTTATCCTAGAAAAAAAAAATTGCCTATGTGTATCAAGAAATATGTACAAGAATGTTACTAGCATCATTTTTTCTAATTGCAAAAATCTAGAAATAGCATAAATGCCCATCAACAGTAGAATGGGAAATAAACTGAGATATAATCATTGAATGAAATACCATTGATTCCTAAAAATGAATGGAACACAGTTAGATGCATCAAGGTGAATGAATTTTGAATATTTTGGGTGAAAAGTCACAAGAGAGTATGTACATTTTGGTTCTATTTATATAAGATTTGAAAGATGGAAAAACTATTTAGGGATACACACATAGGTAGTAAACTATAAAGAAAAACAAAAAATGATAAAAAAAAATTCAGGAAAGTTGTCGTCTTGGGTGGTAAGAGGAAAATGACTGAGTAGCAGCCCACAGGTCATCTACGGTACTGGTGAAGCTCTTTGTTATCCTGAGTAATGTGTACATGGCTATTCATTTAAATACTATTTAAATACTACTTTTACGTTGTATATTTATTATATATATTTTAAAACAACTCTTTAAAAGGTAGTTTAGGTGTCTACTTTCAGTCATTTTTAATGCGATCAGCACACTGGCCCTTCATATTATGCTGTGGGAGTAATCCTTTGAGATCCTATCTTCATGTGAGGGCTTCCTATTAGATTTCCCACTTTGAGTGGGCTTTATTTCCTTTTTCTTATATTTTGTGTAGTTCCCAAAGTGGAAGTTCAAGGTTCTGTAGTTCTTAGGGTGAAAGCTTTCTTTAGTACTTGATTACCTTCCACCGTGTTCCTGGTTTCATTTGGTTTTGGAGCTTGGTATATTATCCACTTTCAAGCCAATTCAGTGAACATTAAATTTAGGCGAAATATATATATAATATATATTTTTCAGCATTTTACCTGACTTTGGGATGTTTGTTCAAGACATTTAATCTAACATAATACTCAAAACAGAAATTCCAAATTCTTTTTTTCTTATACCAAGAAAAAAAAAAAAAACGAACTCATTGCCTTAGAGTCAATTCTGACTCATCGTGACCCTAGAGGACAGAGTAGAACTGCCCCATAAGGTTTCCAAGGAGCGGCTAGTGGATTAGAACTGCTGACCTTTTGCTTAGCAGCTGAGCTCTTAACTACTGTGCCACCTGGGCTCTATACAAAGAATAGCACTCACATAATTATAATACATATCACATTGCTATGTTATAATAATAACATAACTCAATAAATGATTTTTATGTGCTGATGTGCTGGGCATTGTGAAAAGCACTCTGCATATGCTATTTCATTTATCCCTTACAACCACCCTACGAAACTGAGATTCAAAAAGGTTAAATACTTTCTTAATGTTATTTCAATCCATGTCCATCTTACTAGAGAACTGGTGCTAGTAGCTACTACTTTTATTGACTAATCCTATGTAACATAAAAGATCTTACCTGATAATTTAGGTACTACAAACATAGTTCCATCATCACCAATGCAGCTGACTACTGCCTCAAATACCTTCATGTCAGGAATAGCTGGTGGTTTATAGCATCTAGCAGTTCTTGGTTCTAGAATTTTCTCCTTAAGTTCAGACAACTTGTGTTCACCGATATCAGCAGGTTTTTTGTCAGTGTCACAGTTAATTTTAATACACTTAGTAACTACTGAACTTTCATGTTCCAGGGAGATTTCGAGAGACTTCTGAGAGAATGAATCACTGTTATCTAACTTGTTAATTCTGTAACATTAAAAAAAAAGAACATATCTAAACTTAAGCGAACATAAAATTCTTGGGAAAACAATATAAAAAGAATCCTTCAAATATACTTGAAATTTAAAGAAAATGTTTGTTCTAGTCTAGGATATACTACTTAGTTACAAGAAAATAAGTATAATATAAGTTATAATGAAAATTATTTTAAATTATGAATGACACTGATGCAAAAAAGCAACAGAATTTCACCTGAGTGCTTTAACTTACTATCTCATATTTACATGCTATTCATTCTTAAAGCCTCATAATAAGTATACACCAAATACTGGACAATGAACTACATGTAATTGAGAAATACAACACTCTCAGACTGATTCTAATTTAGTCCACAGCTACAACATATACATGTGGGAAGTTATCAAGATTCATAAAAGAAAGATAATGAGTTCTTTAAAAACCAGCAAGAAGCCATTCAAATATTAGGTGTTAGTGGTAATATCCTATATTAACTCTAATTTTTTTAATTTCATGTTATTCCCTTCTAAAAAATAAGTATGCCTACTGTAAAAAAGAAATCCTAGAAGGAAATATTAACATTGGTTATGTTCTGGCATTAGAATGATAGTAGATTTTTGTTCCTTCTAATCTCCTGTATTTTTCCTTTAAAAGTATATAAACATAATGAAATAGCTACATAATTCCTCAACCACATCCCCCACCCATCCCAGCCTTAAGACAGCAATTAGTTTTAGTGCTGTAAAAGCACTGAAGTGCATCACAACATGTAGCAGACAATCTAAATAGTATTAACGTTTCTAGTATTTTTCACTTTAACATTTCTTTTACCAAGAAACTGCTTTGGCCTAAAAGCAGTAAGTCCCAAAAGAAACCCACATAGGATTAAAGATGTAAAGTCTAGCTTATGTTAATGCCCAGGCAACCGAGTCAGCACCTATTGTACCTAGCCAACTACCTTATGTCTCATTTTATAGCTTATTTCTTTTTCTGCTTCCATTCATCAGGACTGGGGTCCCGGTCCAAATAAGGTAAGATATAATTAAAGATGCCTTAAATTATATCTTACCTTATTTGGACCGGGACCCCAGTCTTGATGAAATAGAGAATAAGTCATAATTTAAAATAATTTTCATTTTAAGAAACAAAATTCTGATATAATTCTAATGCTAGAACATAACCAATGTCAATATTTCCTTCCAGGATTTCTTTTATAGTAGACATCTAAGGATGGCCATGCATGGTACAAAGTGGCTATTTGGAACATGTGTTTGCAATTCCAATATATCTCTACAGCTGGAAGAATAGATAAAAGAGTACGCTAGGGCTACAAGACTTTTAATTTTCTTCAGCTTCAACTGAACTGGCATACAAGCAATTCATGGTCTGTTCTGCAGCTGGCCCCTGGCCTTGCTCTAACTGCTGATCTTGAGCCTCTCCATGTTCTCTTTCCACAGATGTAGCTGATTTGACTCCTATGTATTCCATCTGGTGAGGTCCATGTCTATAGTCGCAGTTTAAGCTTTGAAAAAGCTGTCTGCAAGGAATAAGTCATTGGTCTTGCAAAATTCTATCACGTGATCTCTGGCCTTGAGTATATCTCACCTGAATTTAGAGACCACCTAAAGAATAGATTTGACGCATTGAACACTAATGACTGAAGACCAAACGCATTGTAGGATGACATCAAAGACATCACACATGAAGAAAGAAAAAGGTCATTAAAAAGACAGGAAAAAAGAAAAGACAAAAACGGATGTCAGAATAGACCCTGAAACTTGCTCTTGAATGTAGAGTAGCTAAAGTGAATAGAAGATATGATGAAATAAAAGAGCTGAACAGAAGACTTCAAACGGCAGCTCGAGAAGGCAAAGTAATGTATTATAATGACAGGTGCAAAGACCTGGAGTTAGAAAACTAAAAGGGAAGAACACTTTCGGCATTTCTCAAGCTGAAAGAATGGAAGAAAAAATACAAGTTTTGAGTTGCAATAGCAAAGGATTCTATGGGCAAAATATTGAACCAGGCAGGAAGCATCAAAAGAAGATGGAAACAATACAGAGTCACTGTACCAAAAAGAATTGGTTGACGTTCAACCATTTCAGGAGGTAGCATATGATCAAGAATCCATGGTACTGGAGGGGGGACCAAGATGGAGTAGTAGTCAGACGCTTCCTGTGGTCCCTCTTACAACAAAGACCTGAAAAAACAAGTGAATCGATTATATATGACAATCTAGGAGCCCTGAACCTCAAAGACAAAGCTGAGGACTGAGCGGCAGGGGATGGGGAGATGGTTCAGAAGCAGTGAGGAGTTGCCAGACCTGACCTGGCCGGCACCAGCACTCTTGCAGGCTGGATAGGCTAGCGCGCGAGACGTGAGGCAAGCAGTGGTGCTCAGGATGCATTTTCCACACCGGGAGAGACTGAGTGGGGAAGAGCCTGCTCAAGCTTTCAGAACCAGCGAGAAATGGTCCCTAATTGGCAAAAGATAAGTACAAGCATCTAAACTACCAAGTGAATTAAAAAAAAAAATGCCCCTTTTGGGTGGAAGTACCTCTCTCCCATTTACCTGCTCCCTCTCTGCTCTGCTCCAGGTCCCGGCCTGGTTCCAGTGACTGCAGCACCCCCAGGGCCGGAAGTAGTACCAGTCCCGCACCCTGAGCCATTCTCCTGGCTTTGGAGAGGGAACAAATTAACAGACAGGAAAAAATAATCTGCCAGCTCCCCTAAGCCGGGAACTCAGGTCAGCACAGACCCTTTGCCTAGGGATAGGCATAAGGGGTCCACAGACTTTGAATGCCTTTCACCCCTGCATAGACTTGTGTGGGTCCATTTCAACAGCGTAGGCCTTCATTAGAACAGTACAACATGGTATATACCTGAAGCTTATTTTCACCTGTATCAGCTATAAGGGGGAGTGGCAGGCTTGTGACATTTGACACCACCCTGCCCATTATGTAATGTCCTCACTACCCACATCAGGGGCCTGAGGACTGGTGGCTCCAACCACTCCACTCAGTCACCTGCGACAGGGGTCCAAGAGTAAGTGGTAACTCCCAGTCCGTACATCCAACAGCACTGGGTGCACATAGTTCAGCTGCAAAACCCACCTACCTATGTACTCTAGGGAACAGGGACAAACCTTCCACCGAGACATTCCAAGACAGCAGTCAGCCTCCTGCCTTAATCAGTGCATGACTCCCTACTGCAGCCAGGTACCTGTGCCTACTCCAATCACCCCTGCCCCTCTAGGACTGTAGGTGAAAGACTGCACCACACACTCAGTGACCGACGACCTGGATACCTCAGCTGAATCCACACAAGAAAAGTAAACAGACTCCTGGGCTCACACACCGAGGAACAGCTCTAGCCACCTGAAGACAGGACGTGACAGCTTCAAAGACACCAATAATCAAACTAGCTCACACAAGGAGCCTCTTTGGGCATATCAAAACAAAACAAAACAAGAAGCTAGGACACAGTAAACAAATATAAAATAAATATAATAACTTATTGATGGTTCAGAGAAAACAGTAAATATGAAACCACATAAAAAGGCAGACCATGATGGCTTCATCAAGTCACCAAAATATAGAATCAAGAAACTTGCTAGAGGAAGAGACCGTTTTGGAATTACCAGAGGCAGAATTCAAAAGATTAATATACAGAACTCTTCAAGAGGTCAGGAAGGAGATGATGCAAAATGAAGAACAAGCCATGGAACACAGAGACAAAGCAATACAGGAACTTAAGAAGGTTTTACAAGAGCATAATGACAAATTTAACAGGCTGCAAGAATCCATAGAGAGACAGCAAACAGAAATCCAGAAGAGTAACAATAAAATTTCAGAATTAGACAACTCAACAGAAAGTCATAAGAGCAGAACTGAGGCAAAGGAAATCAGAATTAGTGAGACTGAAGATAAAGCACTTGACACCAACTTATCTGAGGAAAAATCAGACAAAATAATTTTTTAAAAATGAAGAAACCCTAAGAATTATATGAGACTCTATCAAGAGGAACAACCTACAAGTGATTGGAGTACCAGAACACGGGGGAATAACAGAAAATACAGAGAGAATTGCTGAAGATGTTTTGGCAGAAAACTTCCCTGATATCATGAAAGATGAGAAGATATCTATCCAAGATGCTCATCGAACCCCCCCATAAGGTAGATCCCAAAAGAAAGTCACCAAGACATATTATAATCAAACTTGCCAAAACCAAAGATAAAGAGAGAATTTTAACAGTGGCTAGGGATAAACAAAAAGTCACCTAAAAAGGAGAGTAAACAAGACTAAGCTTGAACTACTCAGCAGAAACCATGCAGGCAGGAAGGTAATAGGATGACATATATAAACCCTTGAAGGAAAAAAATTGTCAGCCAAGAATTACATATGCAGTAAAATTGCCTCTCAAATATGATGGCAAAATTAGGGCATTTCCAGATAAACAGAAGTGTAGGGAATTTCTAAAAAACAAAGCAAAATTACAAGAAATACTAAAGGAGGTCCTCTGGTTAGAAAATCAGTAACATCAGATAACAACCCAACTAGAGCACAGGACAGAACAACCAGATATCAATTCAGATAGGGAAGTCACAAAATAAATCAAAGCTAAAACACTGAAAACAGGGAAACAGATGCCGATATGTAAAAGATAACAACATAAAAAAAAAAGAAGCACTAAATAATGTAGTCATAGATCTTTCATATGGAGAGGAAGTCAAGGCGATATAAAGAAATAAAAGATTGTTTTAAACTTAGAAAAATAGAGGTAAGTATTAAGGTAACCACAGAGGAAACTAACAATCCTACAAGTCAAAGTAAAAAACTAGAAAAACATAAAGATTCAGCAAATATAAAATCAACAACAATGAAAAAGATGAAAAGAAACCACATAAAGAAAAACGACTCAGCACAGAAAATCAAGTGGAACAACACAAAAAAAATACATCAAAATGACAGCACTAAACTCATACCTATCAATAATTTCGCTGAATGTAA